GGGAACAGCGACGGAGGAATGAAACGTACAATGATAGAGGAATGAAACGTATGTGGTCGGGTGAAATGACGAGAGAGGAATGAAACGTACAACGATAGAGGAATGAAACATATGTGGTCGGGTGAAACGACGAGAGAGGAATGAAACGTACAACGATAGAGGAATGAAACGTACAACGATAGAGGAATGAAACGTACAACGATAGAGGAATGAAACTTACAACGATAGAGGAATGAAACTTACAACGAGAGAGGAATGAAACTTACAACGAGAGAGGAATGAAACTTACAACGAGAGAGGAATGAAACGTACAACGAGAGAGGAATGAAACGTATGGGATCTGCAACAACATACTTGGTCCACAATCTACAACCACAGTACCCGTTCACAATCTACAACCACAGTACCCGTTCACAATCTACAACCACAGTACCCGTTCACAATCTACAACCACAGTACCCGTTCACAACCTGCAACCGCATATTGTCCACAACCTAAAATCTACGACCAAATACCATGTCTACAACCTACAACCAAAGACAATTAGGTCATGGAAGCACCGAAGATTACAGGTGTTGAAAGAAAGTAACAATCACAATCAAAGAAGGAGGCGAGATAACAAAGACAGATGTTTGATAGGAAAGAAGGAGTAAACCACACCAGAGCACCTGCCAACCACCCACAAATAAAATTATAACCTGTCTCACAAGAACACCAAAAAAAAACACTTAAAAAATCCAAACCCACAAAAACACAAGTGTAAAACAAGACAAATTTGCTGTAAACTTCACCACAAGGAAATGTGTAAACCACACAAACATGTCGCTACAAGAGACAAAAGCTGTGAGCTACGAACCCGCCACTGGTCATACTGGTAGGGTAACAGCACCACCACGTCAGAGTTGAGGGCGCGGTTCCTGTCCGCCATGCCCCGCACGTATATGTCAGCCTTTCCGTCCTGTGGGGAGACAGCCAGAGAATGTCAGGTTTTGTGTGTGTGTGTGTGGGGGGGGAGGGGGCGGCGGGGGTGTTCAGTTTTGGTGTTTTCGTTTTAGTAAGAAAATTTGTATTAGTAAGAAACTAAGAGTTTTACGACACTTTAGTTTTAGTAAAAGTTTTACAGCTCTTGAAACACAATAAGGTCATACAACTGCCAAAGAATAGGTGTTACAAGAGGGAGTAACAAACACAAAAAAGAAGGAGGGGAGATAAGGATGATAGGATAGATGTTTAAAAGAAGGAGGAAACCACACCAGAGCACCTGCCAACCACCCACATATATGTGAGGCAGCAAGGCGAAATCATGCGCTCGTCAAAAAGATGAAAGTGAAGAAATTGGCATTTTCCCCGCAGGTTTAGGAATTTTTATCTAAAATGTGTTTTTGGCTGAACACCTTCCATGTCCATTAAAGAACACATTTCTGTGAGGATTGTCCAGAAAAATGTCAAAGGCACAAAAACCGTAGATTATCCGTGTCCAACGACTCTCAGGCTATGGAAGTTACCACACTTCCGCGGACATTTTCTCCCTAATTTTACCTCTGAAACCAAGCGACCCCCACGGCCTTCAACGGCAATTATCTCAACTTCTATTCAAGATAAATTAGTAATATATTTTTTATCAGAAGCCAGAGAAATGAACAAGCTTTGTAATGGTACCATTAACTCTATATACCCAACAATTGACGAGCGCCTGATTCCATAATGTCGTAACACAAACATAAATAATACAGCACATCTCAATAGGACATCTATTTATAACACACAAGACATTTCACGTGGTCATCTATTAAATACTACAGCACATCCCACAAAGTAGGGCATCTACTCTACGTCAGTTCTACTACAGTCTGGCACGTAACTCCTGCCACATACACAATTTCTCCCGCTATAGTCTCCCCACTCACCGGCAGAGGCACGTACGCATCCTCGTAGTTCTTGGGGTTGATCCGGACGGGACCCTGGAGAAAGAAATACATATAATATTTATTATATGGTCGCTTTTAAGGACAAGCGGGCTAACCCAGATTTCAGGGGTTTCCAGAAACCTTGACCTACGCCAAAAGTGGCCATTGCCCTACCTATAGGAGAAGTTTAGTTTCAGTGCTGTGTATATTTGTTTGGACCTTCGATTTTCTCAAAACGTCATTTTTTGGGATAGGCCTTAAGTGCTTAAAAGCGACCATATATATATATATATACAAAAACTAACGACTTCTCTTTCCCCACACAAGAGTTCCCAGGACATACAAGAAGAGTAGACTAACCACAGATCTCCTCCTTCCAGTGACCAACCAGTCTAAGGTTTTTGACACACTCTAGCCTGGATCAATAGCCTCAGCAAAACACTCCAAGGAAATTCACATCATATCATGACAGCTCCAGTGGCTAAGTGAGTAGTGAGTTTAGACTCAAGTAATGTCAAGCAAGTGTCGGTGACACAGGGATCAGATGGGTGGTCACTGGGGTGTGTCCTTGAGCAAGACACGACAACCCTAGCTCAAAATACAGGGCGCTGCACAGTGGCGACCGACAGTGGCATGGTTGTGAAATTGTTCTGTATTTGAGTAATATTGTACATTATGTATGTATTTATGCATGTATTTATGTATGTACGTATTTGTAATAATGTATTTATGTTTGTATATATATATATGTTTGCCATTGTAAAACAAAGTGCCCTTCTGGGACAAATAAAAGGGTAA